ACACATTGCGATTACGTGACTACTGACGACTTGTGGACGTCTTTCGGACAAACAATGGAAACACAAGTACTGTCACACGAATTGCATCGTATTCATTTATAGTTTCCAGGAGATTATGTACAAAAAAAAAAAACGGATTCAGGGATGGTGTCGTGAGTAGTGTCGCTAGCAGGGACAGAGTAGAGTGATCAGAATACGGTAGAGGTTGTGTGCGGCCACGAAGACAATCCGAAGAAGGGAGATATCGCTTCTACAGTGGCTGGTGATATGATTTCCAGGATCTGTCCACGCACATAGCGTATATTCCCCATGGCCGTTTCAACACGGGGCAGGAGAACAGATGCTCACCCACTGTCTCGCCGGTTAAGTGATGAAATCTTACAAGCTTCAACTCCACGCAGTAGACCTCTTCAAAAAGAAAGAATGCTGACATGTAAAGGGAAAGATCATCAGATTGAGTGGCGAACGACAGAGGATCTGGACCCGTCCAATTGAAGCCCGACTGGTTATCGTGGTTGGAGTGGAAGAAAAACATTCAACCAAGGGGGATCCCTCGTGTGCCACAGACTTTGATGCATTCGGAAAATCTAGCCCATCATCTTCGTGATCTGCGCAAAGGCATGGAGGCGGTGCTGGTATACAAGAAGACTCTCGCCGGATTGCGTGAAGGTCGAGGTCGAAGTCATTATCTAGTCAGTTGTGAGCACGGGCACGCCATGGAATCAAGTTATGCGAACCATCTTGACCGGTTCCGTCCATCTAGTTCGATTCTTTTCCAGTCTAAGCGCAAGAATTGGCAGGCTTAAATTTCCAGAAATAAAAGTCAAGAATAAGAGAAAGGAAAAAGTAAGGAGTTTTTCTGGTTTCTATGGGTTCTTCCTGGTGCCGACGAAATCAGAGGTCCTGGAGACCAGCTGGCTCGTCTCCAGGAATGCAGGAACCGTCCCCAGGAGCACTGCTATGGCTCCCCGATACGCCTGAGCTCCCGGGTCTCAACCCTAAAGCACCAGGGAACAGCTATTTTGCTCCTAGGGGCTTTGGACTGATCCCTGGAGCCACTATGCCTAGAGAGGAGATGTCTAACTCTCTGACGTCTATCGTGCATCCTTCCTTTAGTGTATACCAACGTTGTGCGTAACTCGTATAAAAGCTATTCTATTCTATACGTCTTCAACCTCCAAGTTTTTCAGAATACACATTGCACTCAATCGTCCTACAGACGTCAATACGCCAACATGCCTCCCCAGAGAACAAAGACTGAGCTTTTCGATCGCTGTCCCTCCACCAAACCCTCATTCAGTCCCGCCCGCGAACAAACCCCAAAGCTTGCGTGGGAGGCGACGAATCCTCGCTTTACAGAACAGGGAGCGCACCACGTCAGTTCACGAGCAGAGAAGATAATGAGCCAAATCCACGCCGAAATTACCAAGCTACTTAATATGAAGCACGAACTGCTTGCTACAAATCACAGGGTGCGGGTTATGCTACGAATGGGGAAGGATGAACGGGCAGGACTCGAAGCCCAGATTCAATATCAAAATCATTGCCTTCAAGTGGCGGGGCGACGGGCTTGGGGTCTCGAAGAACAGATCAACAAATTGGAGGTTGAACTGGCATCTCGGAATACGGGAACACCTTAATAGATCATAGGGAACATTACCAAGCGACGTCTATCTCTGCTGCTGTGCTTATAGACATGGGAGGGCGTAAATCCTGCTCACAACGGTGGGAATTGAGGGGAAATACTCAACGTTGGCTTCGTAATTAGGCACATTGTGGACGAAAGTTAACGCACATGCGGCCAAGAGTACTGTAAATCAAACGAGCGGTCAACGTTAACTGGCGAAGTTATGTTGAGTACGTAAAAGAAAGAGTAAATCTAGGCATAAAAACCCACGGAAAGTATCAATCTGGGTGAACCCTATCAGTTTTAGCATTATTGTGAGCGCACCTGAATAATCTCTTCGTCTGTCCTTTTTGTTATGTGGGTTGTGTTGTTTAGGGCAGAAAAAGGACGATAAACTGACAAGCAAGTGACAGCGAAGGGGATATGCCAAAGGAATAAATGACGGTAACAACTAGAAAATTTGCCCATGGTGTATTTTCAGTCTAGCGATCTTATTGCCCCGCACTGGTCTCGATAGGATACTATGCTGATACTAGACCAGTATAGTATGGTATGCAGCAAAAGACTAACTATTCTCAGGCCTGATCCCGGTCGCCATCTTGGGGGTTAAAGTAAAGCCGGTAAGAATAAAGTACTTTATGGTTGCAGGCCAGGTGCACTAGACTCTTATCTTTCCGCTAGTAACAGCTGCCAACCCTAATTTCTAGTCAAAGTACGGAGTACCTTATCCTCCACTGCAATAATCCGAAATAAGAAATGGTATAGCCCCCTGATCGCAGAGAAGGGTTGACAGGGAAATCCCCAGAAGCAGCCTGGTGGTTAGCAAGGTGTCCCAGAAGCACAGTATACTGTGACTGCCGCCCGCGTTGATCATTCCTCGAGAAGCCTGTTGAGTTTGCGAGAAACTGGATTAATGCGGGTAACTGTTAAGTTGAGTCTCATCTCCGTCAGTGGACCCTCTCGCCACTCTCAAGGTAGATTAATTCCCAGATAGCCCAGGCCAGACCAAGCTGTGCAAGGGCTCAAAAGTATGCAGTGCGATTCTGGTCGTGGTGCCCGAGCTAGCCGTTTCGAAGCCTGTTCGGTATCTGGTTATGACCTACTAATAAAAGTTAATGAGTTATGCACTTAATACCAGGCTGGAGTTGTAAGGAAAGGATGGGGCACAGTGGGGATATAGTTGTCAGATGGCAGCCAATACATGTGTGCGGCAGTGCGTATTGGCTTACTCCTGCTGCACTGATTTGGAAACACATTTTGCCCCCCCTAAACCGCTGCACCGGATTTAGCTTATCCAGAATCGACTTCACTTGGCACATCTCAGAACCGAAAAGTTCCCTGATTTTATTGATATAGCCGTGTCACGGGACGACCCCCACCCGAGAGGGTGTCCCTCAGCCATAATGCAATTCTCAGCCATAATGCAAATTCTCTACTTTTTCAACTTTACGCGTATTCCTACCCACCAAAAATGCCTAAAAAACCTCGTGATGAAGAGGATCTGCTAGCTAAGGCATTACATGCTTATACTACGCGAGAATTTTCATCCCTACGTAAGGCTGCGGACCATTATCGCGTGTCTTATTCGAAGCTTCGCGGTCGCAAAAACGGACAGACATCTCTCTCCGATCGTCCTACCACTAACACTGCATTGAATTCGAATCAGGAAAATGCATTAATTAGCTGGATCGAATTGCTAAATTCTTGCTATACACCTCCAAAGGCAAAAGACATTGAAATTGCCGCAAATCGCCTATTGAAAATGGTAGGGTCGGAGAGAGTTGTCGGCCCAATATATAGCTATCGGCTTATACGGCGTCTACCTCCACACATCAAGCTTATTACCCAAAAACCAAAGGAATCTTTACGAATTTAAGCTAAGGATCCTAGAGTTATTAGCTATTGGTACGATAGGCTTGAGTATCTCTACCGTGAGCATGGTTTTGAACCTTATGAGATCTATAATTAGGATGAAACCGGCTTCTAAAACGGCGAAGGACTTAACCAACACGTCGTCTCTACGCGTCAAACTACTAGTATTGCTACTAGAGATCGAGGTAAAACTATTACTAGTATTGAATGTATTGCCGCTAATGGCTAGGTGATGTTTCCATGGTTTCTAGTCAAAGGCAGCGTCTATATAGAAGACTAGTATAGCAATATATCAACCTCTTCTTTGGCGTACAAAATCATCTATTTGACGTCTAGTGGCTAGACAGATAGTGAGACTGCCTACCGATGGCTCTGCTCGTTTCATAAAGCTATAAAAAACCGCGTACGACGCGGGCGACCGAGGGTTTTGCTAATGGATAATCATGCATCTTATACAACTATCGAATTTCTCGATTTTTGTAAGGAAAACTTGATTATTCCTTGGTATTTCGTACCTCACACGACTTATCTACGTTAGCCGCTTGATGCTAAGGCTTTTTTAAGCCTAAAGCATCATTTTAAAATGGCGAATACTGAAGTTATGGCGTGGGGTGGAAGCAATGAAAAACGCGACTTTTTCCGCGAAATTGATGCCGTCCGACACCGCGCCCTAAGGTCCAAAACGATCTAAACCTCGTTTAAATCTACTGGTATCTGGCCACTAGATCCTAAACAAGTTTTAGATAATTTGGGGCAGTATTCGGATGAAGAGACCTTGCGCATGTATGACGAGCCGTCACCGTCACCCGCCCGCGAGTTTCTAAGTTTAGTAACCAATTCCCCGCCTAATTCTTATTCGCGCATTGCGAAATTAGAGAAGGCGGTTTTTCTACTACTTAATGACACGAGTCCTGATTTACGGAAAATTCGGAAACATATACGGCGCGCAATTGATGCCGGAAAATCGTCTCTATACAATGCGGAACTTGCGGAGATGAGCCTTACGCGCGCCCTTAGCCACAAAACGCCTGGAAAAAAGCCAAAAAGTAAGCGATGGGTAAAGGGAGCTACAAAAAGCCCCCTTTCATCAATTTCAGGTAATAAGCTAGTATAGCGGAGGTGTGAGAAAGAAGATGAATCGAAGCTTCGTGCTTGGCGGAAAGACGCAGTGAAAATGGCGGCCGATTTGGCGGCTAAGGAATTGGAGGAAACCCTTGAAAATGAGGAGGATGATACATTATTGGCTAATGAGGCTATTGACGGGCTTTATTTCATGGATCCTGGACCTTATACGTCTAGAAAATAAGCTAGAAGTTGAAGAAATTGAAAATTTGCATTATGGCTGAGAATTGCATTATGGCTGAGGGACACCCCCTACCCGCGAGGGTGGGGGGCGGTCCTGTGACACGGCTATGTACCGACTTTCTTCATCCCTGTGATGTCGTTACTATAAGGCACAGCCCCTTGAACATCCCAATTAAAGCTTGATCGGTTACCGATAATGTCTCTGTATATCATTCATCTCTGGTTCTTTGATCTCAAGATCCGACTGCCTTCGTGGTTGAGTTTCGTTGAGGTACACTCTGTCTCCTTGAAGTCCAGTCTGACCGACTCCCCGAAAGAGCCTCATGCTCATAAAGAGCATCCCAAGCATTATAGGCAGGTAATCTATGCCTACGATGCTATAGGGGAGCGGTGCGAGGTGCCAGAACTGGAACACGACCCTTTCTACTTCCTCGATCCCCAAAGAGCGTTGGTTCCCACGAAGAACGCCATCCTGATCGATCCAGTCGAGCTGGGATTACCATGGATCTCAACGATGAAGGGTTCTCCGCAGTGCATTCACTGGCGAGAGGCCGAGGCTGCTGGCATGGAGCTGATCGAGGAAATCCTTGCGGCGCACGGAGCTGGAGCAGTTATCCCGGAGAGGCTGAAGACCAATGATAAGAAACGTAAAATGTTGGAGCTCGTGGAGACCGCGGTCACCATCTGTATCTATCTCTACGCGGTCTCCGATGCAACACGCATCCGTGTGCTAACCAAGTCGATTCTCTTCCTTTTCCTTCATGACGGTCAGTTTCACCGGAATTTCCTATTTTGCTAGGATTTATGGAAAGCTGATTGTTTTGGTTGAATGTATATAGATGTTATCGAATCCACCGTCAACGCGGAAGGAAATTCAATTCTCGAAGGCTGGGACACAGATACCTTTCAAGCCGACGAACTGGACGGCCCTTCGCGAAACGACCTCTTCCTGAAGTTCTGCCGTGAGACAATTGCGCTAGACCCGGTTCTCGGGCTGGAATTGATGCAGGACACTGTCCGGTGGGCACGTTTCTCCCGGACCAACAGCTCCAAACCGGGCAAAGCTCACGGCTGCTGGCAAGATTTTGTGGCCTTCCGCGAGCTCGATATTGCTTACGAGTAAGAGAGTATCCCTTCTTAATCCCCTAATCCTTCAAAGTGCCACCCACTGATCGTAGTTGCAGCTTCATGGTCACCGCGGTGCGATTCGGCGCGGCGATTCTATACAAACCCGAAGACCGCCCCGTCTTCAAGTTGATTGAACAACTGTATATTCGACATTGTCTATACGTCAACGACCTGTACTCCTACGAGAAGGAGTACCATGAGTACCAGAAGGAGGGCGCACCGCTGCACAACTCGGTACATGCGATCGAGCAGGCACTGTCAGTGCCGCCCGTCTCGGCCAAGTCCATCTTGCGCTCCATCCTTTGGGACTGCGAGCGCCAGGTCCGTGAGGAGTATGTGCGACTTATGGCGCTGCCAGACTTTAGCGAGGAGCAGAAGACCTACCTGCAGCATTTGATCGAAAGTTTTGCCGGCAATTACATGTATTCTTCGACGACCTACCGGTACGCACGTCTGTCGGGTAAGTTGATCGAGCCGCCAAACAAGGAATGCATGCTTCGGGATTTCATCTGATTTCCTATTTGAAGGCTGATAGGTGGGCAAAATACATTGCATTTTCGGAAAGATAGAACAGGAAGCTAGTGGCCCACCTCATACACCCGTGGGGTATTGCTCATTCACTATAGAAAGCGTGAGCATCTCGAGGTGAATGTGAGGAAATCAATGTCTGTACGCGCACAGCGCAACGTACGCCGGGAAACAAGATGGATTTGCTGGAGAATTAGAAGATCAGGGAATAGGGTAGATGCGGAGCCATCAACTAGGCACCGACAACAGGCTAGACATGAACGTAAAAATGTAGCTGATGCAACGGATCTAACCCGTTACAATGAATAACAACAAAGTACAAGTTGTATCTATTTCTACCCTTTTATTAAAGTCTTTGAAGCTACCGTTAGGTATATCCAATAAATGATTAGGGATACACTAGCCATATAAACTTTCCTTACTTTTCCGGAATGCTACTTGGTCACATTGAATGAAGTTCCAGAGGCGATATGCACCGGGCGTTGTGATAGGGTACTTTATACCATTCTGTCCAAACAACCAATTTTAATACAAAAGCACAAGGCTCTAAGTGTAAAATTTCAGTTCTGAGGCAAATAAGTTATATCACGACTAATAGTTAGAAACGTTGTTACTGTCGATTAGTAGTCAATTTCGCAAATTCTTTCCTAGATTCGCTGATAACCACTCCGAGATCCTGGGGGCTAGAAACACGCTGTGTTTAGCAGATGACAAATTGATGTTTGAGCTGAGATATTATGAAAAATTCAGAACAGAGGTGCCCAATTTGAAAGTGGGTTATAACACAAGAGAAGATGAAGCAGCAAGAAGTTCCCATGACCCTGATTTGAATAGCGACAGTTGGGTTCAGCGTTGGCATTTTCCATATGGCGCAGATACTCGATTTTACCGGGTGCGCTGCTAAGGTTAGGATTGATAGGTGCATCCAGCATTCCTATATGTCGCCACCAGTCTGCCTTCCTTCATTCCCTTCTTGCATCTCTCGTCGTTAGGACCAGATCAGCGGTCAGGCTGACATGCATACACGAACAGAAATTCTTTTCGCTTGCGGATTTCGATTCAAGTAAGGAGGTCCGACACCTATGGGGACACTCGCCTTACCCCTGCAATAGCAAGGGCCAGTCAGAACGACGGTAGACTGAAATATTCGAGAATTAATCCAATTCTCCTAGATAGCATAATACCCCGCCCGAGTTCATAGATTATGGGATTGCAACGAAAATATTTTCCAAATATCATCAGTCATTCTGGCACGACTGATCAGTCATACCTATTGGCAACCATACTAGTTTAACAAGACAAGTCAAACACGAACACCAATGACGCGTGGGGACAATTTTTGCCAGGACAATACTGTCCCCAGTACCCCGCGTTATCGTAGACGCGGCACGTCACGTCGATAACAGCCTCCTACGCCGCAGGAGTCCACCATGTATACTCAACCCACCACTTCTCCGCCCACGACGGGACGGAATAAGACTTTACAAGCATCCGTTGGTCTTCAGAGGCCCTATGTGGTGTGAGCTGGTGAGACGTTGAAGAAATTACTTCAGAATTCAGGAGCTCGTCAGTTTGGAAGGTTGCCCGCATGTTCTAGCCATAATATGCCGAGGAATATTGGTGAAGCTGACCTTGCCTTAGTTGGCCTAAACTAATATAATCCCCTCTTGACTGCATAATCGGCCTCAATAAGCAACTGTACTAAAGTAATGATCTCCGATGCACCTCAGTTTTGGCCAGAAGACTGACATTTTTAATTCAATAGTTGCCACTTACAGGCAACCTGAAGCCTCTCGGAAATCTCAAGATAATTCTATAAAAGTCTTTGTTATCCGTCCTCGTTTTGCTTAACTACACACAACACCAAATCAATCGGGTAAGAAATACAGGACACGAGACGCAGCACACAGGATATTTTCGAATTTTAAGCTCCTATAATCCCTCAGAGACAAGGAAAATGCGTTTCTCCATCACCATGGTCCTCGCTAGTGCCTATGCAGGCGGATCTCTCGGCGGCACCCTGGAGATCATTGATGTTGATGGTCAGTGCGCGATATGGTCTTATGACAACCATGGCTGCACCGGATCTTCAGCATTCTTTGGCCACCTTGAGGGAGGAAAGTGTTCAAGTAAGTGGACTTCTGGCATAAGAGTCAGCAGAAAGAGTTATTAACAAACTCGCAGCGGTGAACGAAGTCGGAGACCGCACCCATCGCTACCCTGTGCACGGGGTAGAGGCTTGTGGCACGGAAGACAAGTCGTCAGCTGCATGGATTCAAGTGAAGGATGCGGGGGTGGTCACCTTCTCCAATCACCAGGGAGAAACGTCGTCATGTACATTAGACAACGGACTCAAGCATGGCAGCCGATGTATTGCTACTGACACAATATCCTCCACCAAGGCGTCCTCCGCTTTGACGACACCGAGGTCTTCATCATCAGTGTCGGAGTCATCTTCGACTACCTCCCAGACCACACCTTCTTCTGATTGTTCCGCGGATTGAGGAAATATGAAGAACAAGTGCAACTCTCGGAATGTAACTCTCGGGATGTACCAAACATACCCTTCACTACTTTGCAGCTACATGGAATTTTTGGCTTTCTCTTAGTTATGTTTTCAATGTCTGGTTTATTTCCTTTTTGAACATTATATGTATTGACGCCACATCAGGAAAAGAAGAGGACAGAAATGCAATTGAGTCAAGTTGAACGGGTGTTCTGATGGACTCATGCTGATTCGTAATTTGTGTTCGATTTTGCATAATGTTCTATGATTTCAGTCAGGGAGTAGTAATAGCCTGTGTTGTAGCTATGCTTTATTTTCCAATTTGGGCGCTTCTCTTGAAGACTTCCATCGATATGATAGTATTCGAGACCTTGTCCCAATCTGAGGAAAAGTAAGTAAGGAAACTCCTATATTCGGAAGACTGGGCCATGGTGATTGAATACGCCCTTTGTTGTTGCGAGTTGGTTTGTGCGTTATATTGTCGTTCCAGGGATTGAATATACAAATAATATGACACTTCTTGAGTTTCCGACGGTCTTCGAGCTCGACGACAAACAGCTAGCCGATCACGGGAGCACGTGTAATGCAAATACCAATGGCAGGCTCAAGGGGTATTTTATTACCCTAGGAATCTGCCAGAATCAGTTCCGAATTCGGATAATTTGCTCCGAGTGTCTGCCTGCTTGTCCTAGCGCATTTTTTTGTCTTTCGATATTCTTTGTTATCATTTGGACGGAGAAATCTCATACAACGGATCGCCTTGTTGGTATTTGGGAGTAAGAAGCTATGTCGATGTAGCAACCGTGCTTGAGATTGCAAGTTGGGGGTTGGTTGTATGCAACTCCCTGCAGTGGTGTTCGACTTCTCACCCGCACGTAAAGTGGTGCTCAAACAGGCGTCGTCCCATTGGAGTGCTGCCTCCCGAATCAAGCGAAAAATTATTCTCTCTAGGGGTACTTTGGTCTGAAATCATTTTTATATGGCCTTCAACTCCGGAACTTAGATAAAACTTTCCTTGTTTTATGCACACTTTCTGTCTCTGTCCGTATAACCAGCAACTAGATATACATAGCGGTATCCAGATACAAACATGCACATTTTCTTCATCGCCATTAAGAAACAGGTCACGCCCCTGTAGATGGTTTCATTGGTGCTAGGAACTTATCTCTTGACCCTGGGAGTTCTCTTGCTCCCGGAAACCTCTGAGACGTTTCTGGGAGCAAAAAAACAGCCTCTAGGAGCCACGTAGCCCCCAGGAAACCCGATGTAGCTTCTGGGGTCTAGTACCATCACCTCGGGGAATCAAAACCGCGTTTCCGTTGACGACTTGTTGATTCCTGGGGCGACAATTTGGCCTTCTAGGAGTGACCGAACGACGCAGAATTGTGCGCAGATCCGGTGAAGGTTTTTTGTGAGGGCTTTCGGCGATCTCGGAAGGCAAGATAGTGACTCTAGGACCCTAAAGTAAGCTCCCAGGGTTCCACAGCTCCCAGATCTGGTCAATGTATTCCCAGAGCCAGTTTCGTATTTACTCAGGAACGTAAAGTGAAGATCCCAGGGGTAGATCTCATTTTCCTAGAATTAGAAATAGCCCCAGGAGCTAAAGAGCATTTCCTAGGGGATAAAAAGGTCCTAGAAATGCTGTTGAGGTTCCCAGGGCCAACATATTGGTTCCCAGAGTAAGTTAACAAGCACGAGAGTTTGTCAGTCTCTTGCCTGCGGCTTTTCTGCCAACATTCCCCGCCTTCATGAATCCTCTGTTTCTTTGGTCACCGCCGTTAGGTATCATGAAAACAGAACTTTTATCTACCACTACAGTTTCGAGCTCAGACATTTTCGGAATCAGCGAAGCAGTCAATAGCTACTGGCTATGGTGTATTGGTGTCCAGCACTTACGAGATGAAACGGTCGCGTTGTACTTCGGAGTTTAACCATCGGTATTTCATTTCTTGCTAATTTGCTTCAAAATTGTATATCACGGCTATAACGGGTATAACTTCTGTTGCCGATCACGATGCCGAGTGTCTGGTCACGTGTACTCGCGTGTGATTCACTCGCTTTTCGCATTTTCCGTCAAACTCGGCTGTAACCTGTGATCAACTACGCTGAGTGGAATTGAGTCGTGCCGATCGGCGAAGCGGTGCAGCGGTGGAAAGTTGTCGCGGTAGATGAGTTCCTGCTAGTCTGGCTGAGCGACGGGGCCCACCAGTGGGAGATGGATCGCTTGCCGTGTGGACGGAATATGTCTCGGCATCCGACGAGGGGATTCGTAAGGGGCGAATGATGGCATCTAGGGCTCCTTCGTTTCGGCTGCGGTCATCAGTATCTTGATCGTCTCAGAAATAAGGTCATCCGCACTTACCACACACAGCATGACGTGCCAAACCCTGTATCTCGCTTTTCCAACCATTCTTCGGCGCATGACAGATGACAGAGCGATGTGCACTGACCGCAGTGCAAGATCACGCTCTCGTCCGCA